ATCATCATTATTATTATTATTATTATTATTATTATTATTATTATTATTAATATCACTATTATTATTATTATTCAATGGCCTTTATAATTACCATTATGTCATTATTTCATGTGTAAAAAAAAATTGTTAATAAACTAAGAAAAGAGAAAAAAATAAAAGTGGGTGTAACTCCCACAAAAGAGAACAAAAAATATAGTGAGTCCATGCATACATTTTATATTCTGTTGCATTAGTAGAAAGTTCGGTGTACAAATCTTCTATAAAACCAAACATTTTTAAATGAATAGTAACGCTCTAGGCTAATCTTTTACAATTTTTTTTATTTTTAATATTAAAGATATCTATGTATGTATTGTCACTATAATATATATTGGTGTTTTGTAATAATATTGTAAAAGTATCTCAATTTTTTATGATAGGTTGTTAAGGAAAATCAGAATCTGTACTATGCGCAACAAGCGCATATTATTATAACCAGGGTTATCGCGTACTGGTTTCCATAGAGTATGCGCAACAAGCGCATATTAAAAACCATGGTAATTGCGTATTGGTTTCCATAACGCGTACAAGACAGTGTTGACCTATTGTATTCCTTATAAACTTCGATTGCAAACAAGCAATACTTACCTTCATTCACCTGAGTATTTATCACAACTTTTATTATGTTTACATTGACGCTGTTTGTCAATGAGCTTATTTCTAAAGTTTTTACGTATTCTGGTGTCAGTAGATATATGTAAGTAACTTAAAATTTCTTCTCCCAAAATTCGAAATAACTATTTCTTTAATTTTATTAAGCTAGTCTGGTCTATAGGTCATAGTTTCATACTTTCAAAACCTTTAAAGCCACATTGCCGTCATTTAATCTAGAATACGATTACCTTAAGTGGTTACTTTAGTGAAAAAACTAATGGAATTTTTTAATGTAATAATGATGCTTAAAATTGTTCACTGATGAGCTTCCGTCAATTGCTTTTGTACGTCCATAGTTCCGTAAATTGATGTCTCCAACATAAACAATAGTTTTCAATTATTATTAAGCGTTTTGTACGGTATCAATTAAATGTGACCTCGAGTGATATGATTTAAAGATTGATGCAAGTGGTTAGCTAAATGTCGGAAAAATAACTCATCCTATACGGTACATTGTATTCCATAGTAACTGTATATTTTTGTTGTAATGATGCATGATAATCATTTTTTCACAGACAACGGAATAAAATTTCTGCTTCTTCCGTTACCATGTCTCTGACTGGATCGCATTGGTTGACAATTCCATCTTCCAAGTGGAATGCACATACTGCCCATGAAACTCGATCAGTCACAGCTGAAATCGCACACAACGAGAAACAGTTAAAAGTGTATAAAAAAGAAGTTTCAGAGGATAATGAAGCGGCAGAAAATGAACAACTTCAGATTACAACACTGGAGAAAGAACAAACATCTCTGGTGGAGAAACATGAACGAAAAATCCAGCTATTCGAAGAACTGGAGGCTGAAGTTGCACACGTTACCGAAAAGTTGATCTTGTTTGAAGATGATCTCATGAAACAAAAGAAGTTTATCGAGAGATTAAAGAAGGTGGGCAAAGAGAAAATGAAAGAAGTCGACGATCTTAAGACGCAAATTGTCGACTACAAAGCAAAATGCAGCGAAGAACTTCATTCCAAGAAGACTCATAAAGAAAAAATAATTAACTCACTCAAGAGTCTTGATATACCTGTCGACGATTTGGACACCCCTTCTTGCCCTATGTTTTGAATAGTTATGCATTTATTTATAGGTATCTTTAGAATGTTACCATATTTCATTTATATTGGCATTTTTATTATATACACAGATTATCAATATTTTATTAATGGCAATTGGTAGGCATAATGACCCATTGAATGGGATATTTTAAATAAATGGCAAAACCGACATCTATAATAATGTGTGTTCCTCTTATTTGAACCCTGGTTGAGGGATTGCTATAAAATCGTTATTGATGGCTTGCCAGTGGGTTTGACTTTACAATCTTAGAAGCAGCAAAAAGCACTATTAATATTACAGAAAATCAATGTGTTTCAATTATTCTTAATACAGTGTATGACAGTTTGGGAAGTACATGTACATAGAAAACTACGCCCCCAGTGTTTGAGGTTGTTATTTTGAAACCAGTCAAAATGTACGAATCAAGGGCTGTACATCTACCAAGTTGTAGAAGGACGTTGATACATTTCAACCAACATCTTTATTATTATTATTATTATTATTATTATTATTATTATTATTATTATTATTATTATTATTATTATTATTATTATTATTGTTGTTGTTGTTGTTAAATAATGTTTTAAAAATCAACACAGCTATTGTTAGGTATTTATTCTGCTTTATATCTTTTACAAAACACCAGTTTTTGTATTTCTCTTTTTTTAATGTTTGGTAATTGGTAACTATGGAAATCCTTAAATCAGAAAGATGCACAACCAGTACATTTTCATGGTTAGCGTGTACATGTTTCCATAGTGAGCGTGTATTTAAACAATGTAAATGCTACTTGCAGAATACAAGACAATGCACAATACCTTGTTAGTCGCGATCCTAGCTACGAAACTTACTACCTGGACTTACTTACTACTAGTGCTTATCACAAATTTTTACCATGTTTGCTTTGACGTTAATTGTCAATGAGATTTTTTTTTTCTGAAGTTTTGACATATTCTGGTGTAAGCAGATATATGTAAGAAGTTTAATATTTTTCTAATCTATTTTTATATTTTCTTTTATTTGTCTTATCTTGCCAATAGACACAAGCGAATTGAACAGCGAGACATTTTTTGAATTTGACACCCTCCCCTCGAACTCAACCTCAATTTATACCCACACCCAATAAGTTGTAAGTTGTAAGGTTAGGAGTCCGAAGAGTCACACCAGTAATTACGCCAAATGCTTTCAAAATTTATTTAATAAATATAACCAAATATAGTTAGACTGCTGTGACATAGTTTTAGACATAAAAAAAACCCGAAAAAACATACATGACAAATTGGCTTCATTTTCACCAGGATATGATTACCTTAATTACTTATTTTAAGCAAAAGAAAAACAAGGAGTTATTACTCGAACAGACTCTTAATGGAGTTTATGTGAATGTCGTAGAGACGCTTAAAAGTGTTAACTGATGAGCTGCTGACGAGGGTTTGTATTGAATTTCATGATGATGTATTGATGACTTTAGCATCAAAACGGTTACACTGTTACATAGCGTGTTGTACCCAGTTGGTTTAGCAAGTTTAAATTCATGCCCTCGTGTAGCATTATTGCATCTCATTCTGAGTATTTTTAACACACATGTATTTTGTTTTTCATATTCTTACAAGCATTGTTAATTAAACATCAGTAGTTAATGTGAACTTTGAGTAATACCATTGCCATAGAACATTGCATTCTGTCGTGGATATTGGCGCTATCTAAATCATTACTGATTGATTGATATTCCAGAAATCAATGCTTGAAAATAAAATTGATTTAAAAATTAAATAAAATCAAATACATAAAAACCATACTGATGTATTTCTTAACTCGAGCTAGTAAGCCTTTAAAAGTGAAGAGTTGTTTTTTTTTCAAATCCATTTAAAAGAAGTCGTGGAGGTCAGTGTTTTGTTTTTTGTTTTTGTTGTTGTTGTTGTTTTTTTTTTTTTTTTTTTTTTTTATCAAATTATAGTAAATTTAAAGTTAGGATTAATGATATATTTTTCTAAACTTTAAAAGTGTTTTTAATTGGGTTTTTTCAATTTAAGATGTAACAGAGTTTTATCAATTTAATACAGTAATTTATATTTGCAAATTGTTTTTAATATCTAAACCTGCTAGGTTCAGTCACATATTCGAAATAGATTGTTTTGTGGTTTTTTTCTGTATAGCCAAATATATTAGACTGCTGGTTTATATATTTAGTTCTTTTGAGGACTCTTTCCTCTCTTACTGGAATATATATATATATGCCTAAGTGTCCTAGTGATGCTTAAAAGGGTGAACTAATGAACCTGCCGACAAATAATTGTGGTAATAAGTTACATGTACTGGCGATGTTAGCATCTAAGAAGTTGCCCTAATAGAAATTGTGCTAAACCTAATTTTGGAAAGTTTGTGTAACATCATTTAGTCTATGAAATCAATGCTTGAATAAACCTTAGTCAAGAGGATCAGAAAATAGAAAAAATAAATAAATAATACAACACTAATTTAGACAACATGCATTTACCTTATTAGAAAAGTATAAAGATACCAAATCTCTTTTAAAGAAAAATGCGTAGGAGGCAATTGAGAGTTTTGCCTATTTACCTGTAACATTAGTTAGCTAAATGATTATCTTAAGTCAGCTGAAATCGCACACAACGAGAAACAGTTAAAAGTGTTTCAGCAAGAAGTTTCGGAGGCTAATGAAGCGGCAGAAAATGAACTCCTTCAGATTACAACACTGGAGAAAGAACAAATTTCTCTGGTGGAGAAACATGAACGAAAAACTAGCTATTTGAAGAACTGGAGGCTAAAGTTGCACACGTTACCGAAAAGGTAAACTTGTTTGAAATGATCTCATGAAACAAAATAGGTTTGTCGAGAAATTAAAGAAGGTAGGCCAGGAGAAAATGAAAGAAGTCGATGACCTTTAGAAGCAAATTGTGGACTACAAAACAAGATGTAGCGAACTTCATTCCAAGAAGATCTATAAAGAGAAAATCGTCAACGCAATCAAGATTCTCAAACAACCTGTCAACGAGGACGTCACGTCTTGAAAAATTAGGAATATCATTCATGTTTCCTATTAAATTAGAATAGATTTAGGCCTATATAGATATGATACTATAGCATGTACAGATCAGTTTGCTGTAGTAATGGCAATTAACCCTCTGATGGGATATTTTTAATAAAATAGAAACATTTACATCTTAATAGTTGTGTTAATCTTTTGTTATTACACCAAGTTAATGATATGAATGACATATTATGCCTAATATCGTTGCGTTTTGCATAGTGGTAGTAGACCGAAATCATTACTGTTTTTTTTTTTGTTTTTTTTTTGTTTTTTACAAAGTGGTGATTCTTTTTATTCTAGAATTGTTTATTGTTTCGTTATTATGATTATATTTTGTTTTTATGTTCATTTTTTATTATGTTGATGTTAAGCGCCTCGAAATTGTGAAACACTAGGCGCTGTATAGATGTTGATTATTATTATTATACTATTATTTATATAATTTTTTAGGTAACTATTGCATGCCCACTTTTTGTTCTTTTTTTTCTCACAAGCGCCATGTGCATTTCCTTGAAGGGGATATGATCATTTTTAGGATGATGACAGTCTGGATGATGATAAATATACTTTCAATTAATAAACGGGTCAGAAACGAATAACACAAAGAGATTCATACAATCGCGATTGATTAATGCTTATATGAAAACCAGTTTGATGATAGGTCCAGAGGTGTAACTACAGGAGGGCAGAACAGGGAAATTTGCCCGGGGCGCGTGGCAAACTGAGGAGAAGTTAAAATGAGCCTCGACAAAAATTATAAATAGGCCGTATTAAATTATTACAATATTGATTAGTCTTTTTTTATTGATTAACAATCACAACAACAAGCTTAGAAGAAAGAACCTTCGAACTGGGAAGGGGCGCCATTTCCATGCTTGCTGCGGGTGCCAGAAACCCTTTACTCCCCTGGAAGGCCTTTATTATGAGATCCCTTGCAAAAATATTTTATATTACAATCTTTTAATATTTAATATTTAATATTTTATTTTTCTAAATGATATATATTTTATCTTTTGTATTGTTTTCTGTGTGTTGAGTGCTGCCTTGGAGAGCCACATGATAGTGACACTTTTGTGTACATTTGGTTATCCTGGGTTGGCAGCACTCTTTGTTTTGTTTCTGTTTTTATTGTCTTTTTATTGTAATTTTGATTGTAATTTTAACCCGAAATAAATTTGAAATTGAAATTTGAAATTTACTCCCCTGGATAGTCCTTTTTCTACAATTCTCAAATAGTTGTATCCCGAGTCGTATGTAGCTAGCTTGCGGTGAAATTTGTTGTGACGTCGAAAGTGACAGAAATAATGATACATTATTCACCTGTTTTCTACCATTTGAAAATATTAAGTATTACGAGTTACCGGCATGGCATTATCTGTGGTGAGGGGTATGTGCTCTATATAGAAGCGCCCGCTGACATTAAAATAATGTGTGCGCCTATGAAGTGAGTGTTTCAGCTGTTGGTACTTTAGGCCTAGGGCCTAACCCATAATTATTAGGCCTATACATAATAGTCGGTATTTCTCTAAAGCCTTGGAAAGCGAGTAAATTGACGATTTGCTGATATTTAAATTACAGGCTAACCAGTAATTGGTTTTTGTTACTTATTTATAAACACACTCTCAAACTTATCAACCAATATATCGCACTGCCTATAAATATACCGTTATTTGCTGGGAATAATTAAACGAAATTTGTGTAAGGCCAACCAATTCCGACTAAAGTATTTATCCTTTCTTGCGTTAAATTTGTCATATTGGATGTCTAAGTTTATTTGGAGATTGATGTAATGAATTAAACATGAAACGCAATCACGATACTACTTGACTTGAGATTAATGCAAACACTCTCGGTCTAGGAACACATTTCACCTATTTGAAATGATAGTGCACAGGTATAAATTTAACTACTTCTCAAACAATTACATCCGTATTCTTAAGACCAGATGAAGAGAGATGTTGATACTAGATTGCCAATATACGTCGCTATGCGTCATTATGTTAAGTTGCGTGACAAGTTGATGTGAAAACAACTGATTCTATTAAGTCTAAAAGTCTATGCACCAAATATTACATGTGTAAAGCTTGCAGTAGCTTCATCTAGTAGTGGATGACTTTCTAATTAGAAAACGTTGTTTTTTGTTGTTGTTTTGTTGTTTTTTTTTTGTTTTTTTTTTTTTGTTTTTTTTGCAACATTTGATCCAACTAAATCTAGATTGGTCTTAAATCCAAGACAACAATGAAATACGCTTGTCATGGATTGTACCCGCCGACCGTGAATGTAATTTCATTGGTTGGCGATTTCATTGGTTGAAGATGCAAGTAGAGCATTGGCGCCGCAGCTCCTCACACAATGTGTTAATTTATTCATGTTGTTATTGATAATTTATAAAAAGTTGTTACCAGTATAGTTATTACCAATTATTTAATCACCTTAATCTGTAGTGGAACGCTCGAATTAGGTTGTTTTGTGGTGAATGGAGGGAACATAAGATCATGTGTACTACATTTGTACTACA